AGCAAGCAGAGAAGGCATGCTGGTATATATAGTGTAATTATCTCAGCTAGGTAGGATGCTAAATGTAAATACTCTGTATTTGTATAGAGCCTGTCTTAGTCCGACCACTCAAAGCGCTGTTACACTACATCGCATTTACACACATTCGGACTCTGAGGCTAAGTGCTCAAACAGAAGTATCATTCATGACACAGCCATCGGGGGAAATTCAGGGTTCAGTATCTTGCCCAAGGACACTTCGACACGGAGGAGCCCGGGATTGAACCGCCGATCTTCCAATTAGTAGGCAACCCGGGGCTGCTGGAGCCACAGCCGCCCCATTCATGGATTAGAACTTGTGATGGGATTTTGGCAGTGTTAACACCTTCATGGTGTGTTTTGGTTCCTTTTGTCTCTCGACAGGTAAATATTAACGAGCACTGAGCCGGTAACAAAGATGGCTGCGCAGAGCATCATTACAGAAAGAAACCAAGAGAGTGGCTCCACTCCAAAACCCTTCAGGACCGAGTTCAAGCGTTTGACCCTCTGTGATTACTTCATCTTCTCTGTCCAGTAGCTGTATGTGTGTGTGCGTGTGGTCGCAGTGACCCAGAGAACCAGATATTGTGTTAACACAGATAGTGTCTGAACAGACTCCTGACTCCTTATCTTCCCTTTCATCTTCATCCTCCCTCTCCTCTCATCGCCTCCCTGCCTCTGATCTTTCTGGGAAGATACTGAGCTCCAACTCTCTGTCCTTGTTTGCTCCAACAAACCTCAGCTTTTTCCAGTGAGACTGAAGATACTGGCTGCTCTAACTCAGATTTATACCAGGATGTTGTCAGAAATATTCCTCCTTTTCTGGCTTGTTGACACAAACTGTGTCTCAGTTCCAAATTAGGGGTGTGACGATACATTTAGCTCACGATACGAGACTATGCACAATATTGTGTTCATGAGAACAAGTTAATTTTTTGAATTCTGGAGACATTTTCTGCACCAGTATATGGTGAAAATGTCTTTATTCATATGAAGAAAAACACAAAATTCAGGTGACAACTCAAAATATTAAAATATATTGGAACATAATGCAGTAATCAGTAGCTTGGTTTTTTGGTTAGCCTATTTTTTTTGACATTTGTTTCTTCTATATTTACACGGCATTGCATGTTTTTCTTATTATGCAAATAAATCTTTCTCAAAGCATTAACATTTCTTGTTGCAAGATATTTTTCAGAACATTTTTAACAAATGTTTTCGAAAAGTTATGGGGACAATATCACTCATTTCAAAAAGTGGTGGGGACATGTCCCCAGCATCCCCAGTGTAAATGACCGCTATGCATTTACTCTAAGCAGGTTTTGAGCGTGTGATGTGAACACACAGGCTTTGTGACAAAAGTAAATAAACTTACAGATATCAGTATATAAACTAAAGAGAAAAACAGATCTTAGAAATTGAAATATACATATTAAATTGTTTGAAACATTTATAGTAGTAGTAGTTAAGTACATTGATTTTCAAATAACTGCAACTTTAGTACTGAACTTTAGTAAAGTATGTACTTTACTAAAGTTCAGTACTAAAGTTCTGTTTACTGTTTGTTAAAAAACACACCAGCAGTGTATGATGCGTGATGAAACACCTGCACCCGCTCACACATCAGCAGCATCTTGACCTGCATCGCTGATGTACTCTTCAGAAAAACAGCTTTTTTCCTTTAGCTGCAGTAATTTGCACATCTGTCTCTTCTTCTAGATGATGTGTCCAGTGTGTGATGGACATCAGATGACATGACGTTCCACAGTTCAGCCAGTGTGTGCTGAACTTTTGAATGAAATGCACTTTTTATTTATACTAACTGGACTAAAACCTTTTGAGAATTTGGATCAGCCTGTAATGTTTTTTACTTTCTTCTTCTGGTGCTGGTGGTGGATTTTGTTACCGCTGGAAAGAACCAAGCTAACTGTTTCCCCGTATTTTCAGTCTTGATGCTAAGCTTACCAGCTGCTGGCTGTAGCTGCGTATTTATCATACAGGCTTGGGAGTGGATCTCTTCTAACCCTCTGCAGGAAAGTAAATAAGCTTGTTTCAAATGTTTCCTGTAATCAACGGATTTAGTAGCCTGGACTTAAAACAGGATGCAGCACATCTTCAGTATCAAAGTCCTGAGCTTTGATAACCCACCGTTCACCTCAGCCACCGTCCTCCAACTTTTGTGTGGTACACGAACATTTCCTCATTCAGAAAATGTTGACAGTGAACATAATCCAGGCAGTGATGATGTTTCCTCCGAGTCATATTTGGGCGACGATTTAGTAATATATGAATGTTATGGACAGGGTTGCTCAATGGGAAAAGGCTCTATGTACCTTTATACAGATCCTCAGATATTAGTTAAACAGCCTCAGAAACTACCAATTTGTATTTTTGTCCTTTTTGGAGTTGCGTTCCTGAGGACATCACCACACCATGGCGACTCAGAGAGCAACACGAACCATCTGTCTCTCTTTGTATTTTCCTAAACTGCAAAAACCCACAACAGTCTTTTTGAGGAAGGACACGGTAAATTGCCTCCTAGTTCGCCCCGAGAGGCGTTAATTATTTAAGAAACACAAATCAAATCCAGAACAAACCCCAGCGGCAGCAGCAGACTTTCTGCTTGTTACTGAGTCTCAGCAGCATATTCACTTTGATTTTTAGTCTTGTTGTGTGGTGTCTTTGCTCTGCGGCGTTACAGCTCAGTGTCCGCTCAAACAGGGAAATAAGGAAGGATGAATTATAGTGTAAAAAAATCCATCTTAAGGCTTGTAATCAAGTCCTGAGTCTGAAATTCTTTAATTCTCCTCTTCCTCTGTGGTTAAAATAGAAAAAAATTGTTGCTCTCATCTGCTAGTTTATTTAACACCTCCACTTTCTATATAATGAACTGCCTGGTCGCTCTCTCCTGAATTTCCATCTGCTATCTCTGTGCCTTCTCGTCCTTTGCATTCTGCCACCTCTCTCCGATCGTGCGGTCACATTTTGCAGTGTGCTCAATATTCAAAGCAGGTGAGACAGCGGGGAGGTGGTGACAAAAATAAACATGGCAGGTGTTACTGTACACAGGCACCAGGTACCCTTTCTTTACCATTACGAGCAGGAGGAAATAGAAACGATGACGAGTTGCTTTTATTCGCTGTTTAAATCCAAGGACGAGTGTTAAATCTATTTTTGGTACGTCATCTTGCTTGCTGTGATGTTTTCTCTTCTCACACGCTGTACAGGTTGTGTTTCACCTGGCGGAGCTCCAATCATGGTTGTCCCATTTACACCTGTAGTAGAAGGCAGTTCGTACCTGGTGATTCCATGTGTTTTTGTGCTCTGCAGTGTTTTCAGGTGAAGAAGACCCACTTTAAGTGACTCTGGGGTTCAAGAATGGGTTTTGATCAGTGTGCAAAAACACAAACTAAATACCATGAGAAGTAGACATGCTATAAATATTATAACCACAGTTCTAAGTCACTGGATGGTGTTTATTCAGCTTCACATAACAAATAGCGTACAAAACTAACCTAATAATCATTATTACCATGATGAAGGTAACTGACTTATCTCTTATGTTGAGACATCGTGGTCAAGATTTATATATCTCATCTAACTATAGATCACTTACACCATGTGTAGTCAGAATGTAGGAGCTCCTGTGAAGCGTGCATTTCCATCAATATTAATATACAGTCGCCTTTTCCAGATAAGAATTCATACGGGTTTTGTTTACTTAGGTTCCAAAAACAGCATCCTAAATAGTTCTCTTTTGTCCAAAAATACCATCAAAACCACGCACAAGTTAGTAAGGAAGTTTATAAGGAACTGATGACAAAAGCCGTCTGAACAGCCTGTCATTGGGATGAGGAGTTGCATGTAAATAGCCCATGAGCTGTCAAAGTATTTTATCTGTCGGGCAATTTCCTCTGCCAAACAGAAGATGCTAATGCAGAAATGGGTGTGAAGAGGGTCCAGTGAAATTGTTCTCCACCCCACAACAACAAAAAATAGTTGTCTGCCCTAAAATAACCATGGTAAACATGGCAAATATGACTCGGCACAACACCGGTGAAGCTGCGACTCCGTCTCTTCAGCAAGTGTTCCTCTGCTGCCACTACACACACACGCTACGCCTACAGGAGCGCGCTGACGACCCAGGGTTAGGGTTACAATTTTGGATTTATTTAGGCACTTTTATTGAAAGTTTTTTTCTTTCTACATGTTGAAATGTGTATTGTAATAGGCTGTATATTAACTTCTATGTACAATCAGACCTTGAGCACCCCCATATCGCCAAAATGGCGTGATCCTTGTTTTGCTGCGAAGCTTCGACTGTGAGATTGACAGTCGAATCAGGCTCCGCCCATTGAAGCAACGAATCTTCAACTATTCGGGGTCAGCCCTAGAAAATACAGTAGTTTAGAGGATAATATAGAGAAATGAGCGCATTCTGGAGGATTCTGGTTAGTTAAAATAGTGAAATAAAAAACTATAAGCTGTACAAGATGTTAGCAAAAACTGTCTTTTTCAGTAATGTCCTGAGAGCTGCCCAGCTCCACTGGGGGTTCTGGGTTGTTTCTAATGAGGGCTGCTATTTTACACCCCCACCCTGCCGGTCCGGCGATCAAATCAGCAACCTTCTACGTACCAAATCTCTGCCTTAACATTAGAAGTCACTTATCTGTCCCATTGTGTTTTTGTTCTGTTCGTCATTCTGACTCCATGATGAACCCACATGAACAGATTGTGATTAATCTGAAATTGTGAATTCTCAGGGTATAACAAAGACCAGCAGTTATGGTCTTGAGTCATTTTAAAACTTTGAAGTGAAAGCTTTTCCTTGGATTTCATGTCCTTTAACTTTTATCTCATAATCCAGTCACACCAGCTCCATTAGTAAAGTGACCTCCACTGTATCGTCTGACATCCACATAAAGACATAAACACATTTTTCATATTCATTTCTCAACCTTCCAACCTCTCTCTCCCTCCAGCGGCCATTTTGGATGATCAGTCAGTGTGTGGTCGTGGTGAGCGTCTGGCGTTGGCTCTGGCGAGGGAGAACATCAACAGTCTGATGGAAGGCACCTCCCAGGCGAGGGTGGAGGTGGACGTCTACGAGCTGCAGAAGGACTCCCAGTATGACACCACTGACACCAGTAAGTCACTGTCCTCTCCTTTAGCTTCATCGTGTGGCAGTAAGTTTCCCTTCCAGCTGCAGCAGCTCTTCACGCAATAAAGCATCAAACTTTATTTAACAAGGCAGGTCAATAGTGCGGCCGGTGCAAATGGTTCTTCCACGCTCAGTGAAGCTGCACTTTAAATATCACACATTTTCAGCAGAGCTACACACCAGGGAGGACACAGTCTTTACAATGAAGGGTTAAAGGTGCTTAAAAATGCATTTAGGCGTCGTAATCAATAATAACTCCCCTACATATAAATCTAGATTCCCTTAAGTCACAGACAATGTCATAATGACTTGTCATAGCAGGTAAAGCACAGGTGTGAATAATAACATCTATAATAACTCCCTGTTAACGATTTGCTCATTGTCCCCGAGCTCACTGCTTCCTATCCACCTCATTTAAAAACCCAACAGCAGCCTGAACGCCTCTGCATTTTAAAAACAGGAAGAAGGAAGAACCGAGGAGATGAAAACAATGACACACGTGCTGTAAAAAGGCGACGTGCAGCCGTTGGCAAAGTTATTAACAGCGAGACATCATGTGCAGTAACAATATCCACATCACTCTTTCCTGTAGACACTCCTGGAATAAATTAAGATAACATAAGATAATCCTTTATTGATCCCCCAGAGGGGAAATTGGGGTATCATAGCAGCACAAACACGAAGTACAGATAAACACAGAAACTCAAAATAAAAGTACGTAAAATAAGAATAGAATAAAACAGAAACTATACAAGTGCAATTAAACAAACTTGCAGGCGATAGCCGTACCCATAGAGTATACCCACAACTGGATTTGTAGATGAGCAGAGCGACTGTGCAGTACCATCTCAAGCAAACAGCCACCTGTTTTAAGCCTTGCAGAAACTGTACACATTATATTACATTTATTTAGATGCAACTTTTAGCCTAACGACATAGAATCAGTACACTCCAACCACCTGGATAAACTCCCAAAATGTGCAAGAATCATTCAGGTAGATCAATTTCAGCAAATAACTTCCTGAAGAGCTACACTTAGAAACAACAAGAGATAGAGAAAGGGTTGCTTTTTTATGGGCCTTTTGCAGTCTGAACAGATGTTTAACTCTGCGATGGACGATGTGTAGAGTTTCTGCTGTCCTGATGTCGACAGGGAACTTGTTCCAGCATTGTGGAGCCAGGACCGCAAACAGCTGTGATTTTGTTGAGCGGCGGCCGGGCCCCCCTCTTTGTAAGGAGGTAGAAAGCCAATTGGCTGTAGCAGAGCGTAATGGACAGGCTGTGGTGTTTGTTTGTCCACGTCCTGGATGTAGGATGGGTCTGAGCCATTCGCAGCATGGTGGGGAAGTACCAGTGTCTTGAGTCACAGATTCAGATTAAACCTGATTTGAACCCTGAATTAGTCGCCACCAAACTTTCCTTCTTTTTTGGAGGGTTCCAGCTACCCCCACAACCCAGTTGGTCTCCCTCCAGATATCAGATTAGTTGATTCAGGATAAAGTTAAATGTATTTAGCCATTTCTGATGAAACCAGTTTGAGTTAATCTGGTTCAGAAAGCTGCCCTCTGTAGAACTATTACAGCCGTTTTTAGGTGTTTAACTAATCAATAGTGTTCTCAAGTGACAAGGTTTGTCACACTGATGAGTTTCAGCTTGAACATGATGGAAGCAGACATACAGACAGAAGGACAGATGGATGATGGCGGTGTTTTACAGATTCAGATCATGTAAGAGCGAGGTCATCGTGACCGCAGAGATCGCGGCGTTCTGCACGAGCAGCTGCTATGGATGTTTATTGATTATGAACTGCCAGCGGCACACAGAGAGGCAGTTAATGTTTTCTGGCAGAGCAGAGCAGTACACACACATTCACACTCACACGAACAGAAATTGAGAGGAAGCGGGTACAAATTGTGTAGTTAAAACAATGCATTGCATGGAAAAACATACAAACCACAGCACAATAATGAAAACATCCATATTGATACAGAAACAATCTGATCCGTACGCTCTGTTCAGTCCATGTCTGCTTTACAACAACAAGGTAGTTTGTTCCATTCAGTGATGCACTCTTTTTTTGGTTATTTACCTACTGAGTGAGTGGATCTGACGTGTTTCTTTCAGAAATAGTACTGAAAGAAAAAAAAAAATACAGATAATGGTTTCCTTTTTATGTAAACATCCAAAAATATAAACAAGAATAATCTTATTTTTGTGAAGCAGGAAAAAGGGAAACCAGGGCCCGTATTTATCAAGCTTCTCAGATTTACTCATAAGAACGCTGCTAAGAATTGATTCAAGAGTAAAAAAATTCTTGGCTCAAAGCTGAGCTTAAGAGTTAGTTATCACGCATTTCAGTCCTAATTTAAAGTGGTGTGTAGGACTAAATGTTAAGTGTCAGTCTGAGAGCTGATTCACGACACTTTGCTGTGCCGCACACAGGATTTTGGATGACGACATACGCAATGATGAATCACTGAACAGTTTCCTTATTTAAAAATATTCTCAGATAAATTCACATTGAATGGTGAAATTTCTTGTAGAAGTTTACATTCAACACATTTGATGATAAGGAATTTTCAAGAGAACACGTTAAAACACATTGAAGGATAGTGCTGATAACATGGAGTGAACAAACAAAAGGGCCCTGGCGTCAGTTGCCAGTGTGTCTCTTAAGGTGTTGGGGAGTGAAGTTTATTCACTGCACAGCCTCACTGGCGTCCGTCACACGCGCTTATACAATATGTAAATGCTCTGTATTTGTATAGCGCCTTTCTAGTCTTTGTGACCACTCAAAGCGCTTTTACACTACATCTGCATTCACCATTCACACACTGAATGTGCTCAAACAGAAACTAACATTCATACACATTCATACACTGGTGGAACAGCCACTAGGGGCAGTTCGGTGTTCAGTATCTTGCCCAAGGACACCTCGACATGTCTGGGATCCGGGGATTGAACCACCTCCTGAGCCACAATGCAAGACTTTGGGAAAACTTCTCAGTTGTTTCTGACAAAAATGAATGTAATGATTTATGTCTGTTATTCAGAACGTTTAGCATAGCCCAAACATTTGTGTCCTTTTTTACTCTGCATGTCACAATGTTTGCAGGAGCCGGCGGTAACGGTCACAAAATCAGCGGCAGTGGGATCAAGTAAACAGTCCGCCACAGGTCTCTAATGTGGAGCTCTAAGTGCCATAAGTGTTTCCATGACTTATATATCGATGGTTGTGATGGCCCCAAATCATCAGCATTGCATTGCTGCATTTGTTCTTTGGCAAAGAAAGAAGCGTCACCACCACCTTCAGTTTAGCTGATAACGCATTGCTGTGTAAAGTCAGTGGTGAGATGACGTCCTTCACCAACTCGCTGACAAAGATTATGCCTGCGCTGTCCGACCCCGTCTTATTAACTGCGCGTCGTCAAATAATTCAGGAAGATTCTTCCTCTCCTGAAAGACTCACGCATGTCTCTGTCTCTGCAGTTCCATCACAAGCCCCTACTGGCAGCTCCTAACCTCTTGAGAGACCTCTGGAGCTGCCTTAAATAACTGGGAGAGTAAGAGTCATTCTTAGCTTTAAGAAATTTGAAACTTGCTTTTATTCTTAAGTTTGAAAGTGGGAGTAAATTTCATGAATTCTCAGCACAAACAGTAATTTAAGAAGCTTGATAAATACCCGCCGAGAGCTTTTCACTGACCCCAAAACAAATTCTGGTCAGGGTCAGGCAACCGTGCCAAACTGCTTATTAGTCTATTTGAGCAGGGATCTGCTCAATGGTCAACAGGAAAAAAACGATTAAAAAAATAAACAACAACAGTGCAGCTTCCACCAGTCAATATTGTTGCAGTATATCACATGATAATTAGCTACAGTCTGTACTGAATGAGCAAAGTATTACTGTGCCCTTACAGGATTAAGTTGTAAATGTGTTTTATGCCCTGGGTTTTGCCTCTGAGGTTATCTACAGGCTGCCCTAACATATCCCCTATTTGCTCTCCAGCTTGGCCCATTAACATAAAAATGTCCATTATAATCAATAGTCTTTATAATAATGTTGTATCAAATGACAATGTGAAAACAATGTTTATTGTAAAAGGGGTCTCTGGTAGTTATGAAGCTACAGAGAATCATCAGCTGACTCTGCAGCTTGCCTGAGCTTAATAGCTTCACTATAAAGTGACTTTCAGCTAATTGTTTATCTGTCTGGCTGCTGCTTTCTCGTTCTGCTTCACTCTCGGCGCTCGTTTCACACATGTGCCTCATTTCCAGAGACAAAGCTTTAAAAAGCTGCTGTACACGAGCTGCTCAGCAGCAAACAGCAGCTGGTGAACATAGTGGAGCATTTAGCAGCTAAAGAGCCAGATATTTCCCTCAGGAGCCGGTGGAGACCAGAAACAGAGCTCTACTGGACTCACGTTCATCATGTGACACAAACACGACTCCACATGAATGACCTCGTGGCTCTGTAGCTGCTGGATGTGGAAGCAGCTGTTTGCTCGGATGTCTTCCAGTTATTGCAGGTTTAACTTCTGATATATCTTTTTTTTGTCTCATGTTTTCTCTCTCAGTGTGTCAGATCCTGCCAAAGGGCGTGGTCTCTGTGATTGGCCCCGCCTCCAGTCCAGCCTCCGGGTCCACCATCAGTCACATCTGTGGGGAGAAAGAGGTGAGTCACATCACAGCGACACCAGATGAGAGCATGAGTACGTATGAGTTACGTATGATGACTTCACATCCACAACTCTGGTACTATAATAATGTGTACAAAGAGTAGTACTCTTATTATTATAATCTTCATTCACACTCCAAGAGCTACTATTAATATTACTAGGACAATACTATTATGTGTAAATGTTATTACTTTACAACTTAAAGATACTTTAATACAAGTAAAAGTCCTCCATTTAAAATTTATAGTTTGATGTACCATTTTTACCAGTAATAATACTTTCTGACTTGCCTTTCAGATGTGGCTTCATTAATGTTTTAGTAGCATTTAAATATCAATCTGTACCAGCGCATGCTATTTCATTAGCTGATCCCTTACAGTAACATCTGCAAAGTAACTACAGCCGTCACATAAATCCAGAAGAGAAAGATGTGTTATATTATTTCCCTCTGAAATATATTATTGTGTAAAGCTGCATAAAATGGAAATACTAAAGTTAATTTCCCCGTTCATGACAACTGTGCGGGAATTCATTTTTATAAATCTCGCCTGGTTAAATTATATTAAGGCTATAATATTAAGTTGTCAATAATTAAGAACATGGCTGCTTTGAGTGACAGGTGGGTGCTCTCTTAGGTAGCTTGCAAATGTTTAAGTTAGGCACAGCCAAGATGGCACCGGCCTGAGCCCCCTGGAAGCGCCCACAACAATGACTCTTCAGAAACCAAAGGGTCACGTCACGCCAGAACGAACACAGGAGCTCACACGTGGTCGTGATAATTGAATGAATGTAACCTTAGTTATTTAAATCTCATACTACGAGTAATACAAACTGTATTTTATGTGTGTACTTTATTTGGAGGTCTGTTTCAAAGTTAAACATGAGGCATGAAAGTATAAATTCCATTTTGATATTGCAGCTAATGTGGAACCATAGATGAAAACAGGTTTGATGTTGTAAGAATATCTACAGGAAAGGTGTCAGTTGCCAACGCGTTCTCATCTCAGTGTGTCATTACCTATGTTTTCAGACAGCGTGACAAAGTGTAATTATTTTACGCTAAAGGTTTTGCTACGTCGCCGCTCCGCTTGCTATGCCACTGCTCTGCTCATGGCCAATGTGCACAGCAGGAAAAGCCAGTCGACATGCATAAAGTCAGTGACTTAGATTTAGGCACTAAGATTTCTGATGGTTATGATGAGGGTAGGGGGCTTCGGGGGGCTGTCAACACCTTTAACACGAATGTAGCTAGCTAGCTAGCTAAATGCTAAATGTTCTAGCGTATGAGACGCCCCACAGTATCTCATCCAGAGCATCTCCCACAGAAGCTAAAGGGTACCTTCGTTAGCGTTGGTATTGGACGCCCTGAGAGGAGAACGGGCTCCAGTTGCAGGTGTTGAGGAGGATTTGACTGCAGTGACACTGAAACTGCGGAGTTTTAAAAAAGATCAGCTTTTTAAAGCCTTTAACTTCTGATTAACCATTTTCCTGCCTGAGTGAATCTACATGAGTCCATCTCCATCTCCTTCTAAGCCATTTAACCGTCGTGATATCCCCTTCCCCTTTTGCCTGACAGGTCTCATATTATTGGATTCTCTGCCTGGATTTAAAATAAGCTCTGCAGATCAGAGTGAAGCCCAGCTGAGCTAATTACAGTTTACTGTTTAAACCTCTGCAGGTACGAACTGAGCGGCAGATCACACAGGACGTTTGGCCCCTGACCTGATTCTTTATTCATCACTGATGTGATTAATTTTTCAATTTGTCATTAATTTTTCAGATTAAATACAGACACTGTCTGTCACAGGATCTTTGCTCTGTGGAGTTTAAATTGAAACAGAGCAGCTTTAAAACTCTGTGTGTGTGAAATCAGAGGGAAAAGCTCTCAGACTTGTTAAAGTATAGATTTTTTCATGTGAAGTCCAGTTTTCAGATGCTTTCCCACGTTTACATCCACGTTTATTTTTGGCGATCCAAAGGAACCTACTTGGCAACAGAACTAAACTTAGGAACTTAAAACGAGGGATGTATAGATGTCAGTTGCCGTCCACACTGAAGTCTGTACCCCTATAGTTCCTGGGCCATCAGAAGGCAAAACCTCAGTGTAGGGACATTTGGAGGCCAGGAACTCCCAACTCGTCACATGTGGACGCTTGGTCAAGATCCTTTGGTTTGGGTTAAAATAACTGCGTACATCAGTTAACACATAAGTTAACTAACATAACTTGAAACTGTAATAAAAATATTTAATGTTTATAATGTTGACTTTTTGTTTCACACAGGACACGAACCCCAGTCTCCTGGTTCAAAGTCGGGACTCTGGCCCTCCATCCACCCCAACCACCTCCTTTTTATTTTATTTTATTTTATTTTTTTTTTACTCTTTATTGAACATGTTAAAAGACAACAACAAAAACTGAATAAAAATAAACAATCAACAAAAAAAGATCATCTGCAGATGGTCCAAATAACAGTCATGTTCAAAGGGGGTAGGAAGAAGTTAGAATAACTTTTCTTGTCCTATCACCACTTCACTGATATGTTTTAGTTACCTAAACTTAACTAAATAAAGATCAAAAAAGAAAATCACTGTTCCAGCTCATATCCATCAAGGATTCATTTTTTCAATATAAGTTTCAATTGCAATAAGTTTTTACATAATTTTAAATCATTATTGCTGTTGTTCCACAGGATAACACCCTGGGTTGTTACACAGTGGAACTTAGTATTTGTTCGAATTAGCGGTCTACTAAACTTTGATATTCCTCTGAAATTGTACGTGTTTTCGTTTTTTGTGTGCTCTAAAAACTATTTGAATAGTTTTGTAGTCAGTCAGATCTTTCAACTTTAATATTTTGAATTTAATAAACAATGGGTTTGTTGATTCTCTATATGTAGTTTCATATATGATTCGAATGGCTCTTTTTTGTTAGATGAAGATTGGATATGTATTTGTTAGTATGTATTGTAAGTGTTCCCCCATACTTCCACACAATAAGTCATGTATGGGAGTATGAAGGAGCAGTACAGCATATTTAGAGAAGCCTGATTCAACAGGTCTTTGGTTTTATTTAATATTGCCAATGACTTGGATATTTTGGTTTTAATATACTTTATGTGAGGTTTCCAGCTTAATTTGTTATCAATAACTACCGCGAGGAATTTTATTTCAGATACTCGCTCTAGTTCTATACCATTTATCATTAGTTTCTTATCTGTGTCAGTTGATCGGTTTCCAAATATTATAAATTTTGTTTTACTCAAATTCAGTGTTAATTTATTTTCATCACACAAATCTTCATCCTACTCACTTCCTTTTCCATGGTATCCAGTAGCTTCTCCAAATTTTCACCACAACATAGTAGGTTTGTGTCATCAGCAAAAAGAATGGTTTCCACAGTTTGCAATACTTCACATATATTATTTATATAGAGGTTAAATAATAATGGCCCCAACACTGAACCCTGTGGCACCCCACATGTAACCTGCAGCAGTTTTGATTTATTGTTTTGTATGTCAACATACTGTTTTCTGTTCTCCAGATAACTGGAGAACCATGTCAGTGCAATTCCTCTAATATCATATTTTTGTAGTTTTTTTTAATCAATAATTTGTGATCTACAGTGTCAAAAGCTTTTTTGAGATCTAGAAATATCCCCACTGCATATTGTTTCCTGTCTATTGTGTCTGTAACTTTTTCTATAAATTCTATCATTGCAAGATAGAACACAAGTAAAGCCACTCAGTCTTTGCTGTTAAATATCATATACCTACCTTTACCGTCAAAAACTGACGCTACAGGGCTTCCCCCACTGCGTTGAACTATGACGCTATAGGGATCCCCAGTGCGTTACAAACTGATGCCGATGGGTTTTGACCATGCCTCCATATGTAACGAGTCGGGGAGGGAGAACGTGTTGCATAAACACCTCTGTGCATGCTCCTAGCTGGCACCCATCTGTGGAGGTCCAAGCCACGGTGTCTCACAAGGCTTTACAGTGCAGCCTCGCCCACTTCAAGACCACTGTAACCTTTTGCTTCTTGCAACAAGATGAGATGTATTTTTCCGTGGTTTTATTCATCTTCATCAACTGTGGTAACTTCATTTGTGCTGCTATTCCAGGCTTTTACCGCAGCTTCTTTCACTTCTTGTTTGTTTCGGGGCGTTTCTCTCTTCAGTCTCCTCTTAAGGAGGTGAAATGCAGCTCTATTGGGTTAAGGTCAGCTGATTGACTTGGCCAGTCTGAAACCACTTTTTTCCCCTGATGAAGTCCTTTGTTTTGTTGGCAGTGTGCTTTGGCTCATTGTCCTGCTGCATGAGAAACTTCCTCCCCATTAGTTTCAATGCATTTCTCTGTAAACTGGCAGACAAAATGTTTCTGTCCACTTCTGAATTCATTCTACTGCGACCATCATCAGTTCCATCACCAATAAATATTAATGAGCCTGTTCCAGAAGCAGCCATGCAGCCCAAGCCATGACATCACCTCCACCATGCTTCACAGATGAGCTTGGATGCTTCGGATCATCAGCACTTCCTTTCTTTCTCCACACTTTGGCCTTTCCAACACTTTGCTAGAGATTAATCTTGGTCTCATCAGTCCATCAGATTGTGTTGCAGAACTTTTGCGGCTCATCTCTGTACTTCTTTGTAAATTTCAATCTGTCCTTCCGATTCTTCCTGCTGATGAGTGGTTTGCATCTTGTGGTGTGGCCTCTATGTTTCTGCTCTCTGAGTCTTCTTCCAGCAGTGGACTGTGATACCTTCACCCTGCACTGTGGAGGTCGTTGCTGATGTCACTTCCTGATGTCACTTCCTGATGTTTTGGGGGTTATCATCAACTACTGTAGTTTTCCTTGGCCGACCTGTTGGACGTCTGTTGCTCAGTACACCAGTTGTTTCTTTCTTTTTCAGGACGTTCCAAATTGATGTGCTTGTTATGTCCAATGTTTGTCCAACGGCTCTGGTCGATTTTCCGTCTTTTCTCAGCTTGACAGTGGCTTGCTTTTCTCCCACAGACAGCTCTCTGGCCTTCATGTCGGTTTATCCTCTTTAACAGGAAATGCAGTCTTTATAGGTTTGAAGGATGAAAACTTAGACTAATCATGCAGAGCTATTTAATGTTTGGACAATCACCCTAAAAGGCAACACCTGGGCAACAAGAAACATCTGTCAGTCACATGTTCCAATAGTTTTGCTCACTTGACAAATGGGTGGGTTCAAACAAAGGGTGGTTTGTCCTGAGTTGTTTAACACATCTAGACATGAATACCAGGAAATGAGAGCTGAAATTCTGAACTTTTGTCTCAGACTCATCTTTTGATACCCAAATGTCTTCAGTGAACAACAAAAACAAAGGAATTTGCCTCACCGTTCCAATACTTTTGGAGGGGACTGTGTATTGTGATAACTATCGATACCAAATGATATGAAATGTTTTTATAAACCCTTTTCACCTTGCTGCATTTATATTTTCCTTCTTTCTTTCTTTATCTTTTCTCATAAATCCTTTGATATTAATGTTTCGGCTGAGTGGAGGTGAACGCAAACTCTCTCTGTGATTCCCAATATCGCTGATGATCGAGGCTTTGCTTCATCTTCAGATTTTCTTTTTGAAACCGAACCAAGACTTGATTATCAGCGAGGGTCAGAGTCTGATTAAAGCTTTCATTTCTGTTATCTGAACTCCCAGTAAAGCCTGTAAGGTTTGATGAATTAGAAAAAAATGCATTCCCTTTACTGAATGTCATCACCTCTCTTTCTTTTTTTCAATCTTTTTTTCTTGACTTTCGCTGTCCTTTCTTTTCATTTTATTTCCTTTTGATTTCTGCTCCTTTCTTTCCCTTTTTTCTCCCATTTCCCTTTCCTTTCACTACTCCTGATTTTTTTTCTCTTCTCAATCATTTTTCGTCCCTCTCCATATTTTCTTAGATCTCCAGCATAAAGGTTGGCCCGAAGAAAACCCCTAAGCTGACATTTCCTTTTCCTTCCTGTCTTTTTCTTTCCTTTCTAATCATTCTTCTTACTCCTCCCTCCTTCCCTCAGATCCCTCATGTGAAGATCGGTCCGGAGGAAACCCCGAAGCTGCCGTATCTACGCTTTGCCTCTGTGACGCTTTACCCAAGCAACGAGGACCTGAGCCTGGCCATCGGATCCATCCTGCGCTCCTTTGGCTACCCGACGGCCAGCCTCGTCTGTGCTAAAGCAGAGTGTGAGTCCGTCTGTGTAGTGTGTTTTTATGTTTGATGGTTAAGCTAGGTTTATGCCTTGCGTTGAGCAAAGTAACTAGGCGCCCTAGGTCCGTCTCTACGAACCTCTCTACGACGCTTCCTTGAGAGACCACAGGGAAAGCAAAATGACTCAATTTGTGAAGAGAAATCACCACCTCACCGGCAAAAGAAGAGTCATTTTATTTTCTTTTTTATAAAGCCATGTTGGATAATGACATTGTTGTTGTACACCCCCTGGGGTTTTGGAGAATACTGCAACGAACAATGTGTAGAGCATAAACCATCACATTCTCACCCCCGACTCGTCACATATTGACGCTTGGTCAAGGCCCTTTGGCGTTACTTTTTAACGTCCTGGGCCTTTAGCATCATTTTTAGATGTTTAAGGCTCTGCAGTCAAGTTAACCACAACAAATATTCCACATCCAGTAAAAGTAGACACAATGAATATGCGTCCGGTTAGACTTTCAAAATAAAACGCTAGCGTTTAGAAACATCACCATTTTGAAACGGCACGTTATTAAAGTCGTGAAACGTTGCAATTTGGTTATGTTTAGGCACAAAAAGTACTTGGTTATGGTTAGGAAAAGATCGTGGTTTGGGTTGAAATAACTACATAGGTCAGTTAACACGTAAGTTAACTAACGTCAATTGCATAACTTGTGCGACGTACGTAACTCGACTTTGACTTTTTGTTTCACACGAACCCCGAACTCCTGGTTCAAAGTCGAGGTTCTGGCCCTCCATCCACCTCCTTACTCAGTCTTTGCTGTTAAATATCATATACCTGCCTTTACTGTCAGAAACTGACACTACAGGGCTTCCCCCACTGTGTTGAACTATGACGCTATAGGGATCCCCAGTGCGTTACAAACTGATGCAGATGGGTTTTGACCATGCCTCCATATGTGACGAGTCGGGGAGGGAGAACGTGTTGCATAAACACCTCTGTGCATGCTCCTAGCTGGCACCCATCTGTGGAGGTCCAAGCCACGGTGTCTCACAAGGCTTTACAGTGCAGCCTCGCCCACTTCAAGACCACTGTAACCTTTTGCTTCTTGCAACAAGATGAGATGTATTTTTCCGTGGTTTTATTCATCTTTCTCGGGAGCTTTTTTCAACTGTGGTAACTTCATGACCTGAACTGATGCTCCTGGTTCATCACTCATGTTGATCTGCTTGCCTCTGGATGTTCAATCGCTCAGTGTTGCTCTGCTGGTATTAAATACTTTAAGAAGTGCTGAGAGGCTTGGTGCTGTACCAGTTGGGTTTTTAGAAGTTTTTCAGATGATGCAGTGTTCGCTAAGATTTTGTTATTTTAGCCAGGAGTTATAATCATTATTTGAAGCCAGGTGACGTCAAATATCTTGAAAATTAAATTAATAGCTTTCTTCCTCAAAAAGAACCACAGGGTGACCTTTTATGTGATATTTTGATCAGCTGGATTTTGGAAAGGGTGGATTCCTGTAAAGTAAAGTAAAGACAAAAGCTTGATGAAGATGTCTGTAAGATCAGAACATTGCTGTGTTACTATGAGCAGTGTTTGCATGATTTCTGCTTTCAGTCCCAGTTTTTAATCCAGCACCTGTAAACCTGTTTTGGATGTGTTCACTCTCTCTTCTGCTTGTCTTTTTGGTGTATTGCTATTTAAACATTTCCTCATGTATCTACACACAACCTTGGTGCAAATGAACAAGTTCACCAAAGTTGAATTCATTCACTAATCGGGGCTGTGAAAGCTTGCAGACCTTTCCCTTTTACTATTCTCTTTCCTTTGCTCTGTCTTTTGCATCCTCCTCCTCCTGCTCTTTTTCTTTCCCCCTCCACTTTTGCTTCATCCATCTCTGTCCTGTTTTTCCACCCGACTGGGCTGCCCCGGTTTACTGTTTTAATACTCCTCTGCTCTTGCTGCAGACTCTTTAGCAGTATCCTTGTCCTGTTAACGGTGGTGTTTAACAAGCCTGTACTGTTGTGGAGAATGATGCTGTTGGCCAGTTAAATCCAGCGTCGTCGCAGTGCGCGCTTTATGGCGGCGATTAGACGAGACACGCCTGCAGCTACTGTCATTCACGGACGGGGAGACGAGATGGAGGCCAACCGGAGCTGAATGTTAAAACTGAGAAGATGCAAGTGCAGCAGCCTTTTCTAAAAGTTACTGCGGAAATATTTTAATTAAGAAACTTTTTAAATCTATATTTGAACTATTCTATAATCCCCCTCCAGATGTATTTTATATTTTTATATAATATTTATGCCATAAACTAAATAAACAGTAATACATTCCTGTGGCTCTGAGGGATCTGATCAGCAGTGCTTTTTATTTTTTTCCTTTAACCTTTATTTATTCAGGGGAGCTTCGCTGAGCGGAAGCCTCTCTTTTGCAGGAAGCAATCACATTCACATTGTTACATGTTCACACCTGAGAGCTGCCCAGTACAACCGCAGCCTGGTCTACTGGCCACTAAGCAGCTCCACCGGAGCTGTTGGGGTTATGGGCCTTGCTCAAGGGCACCTCAGTGGTGGTAAATGAGGGAGGTCAGGCACTGTTTGGTTTACTTTCCACACCCAGATTTTATCCTCCCGGTCTGAGAAGCTCGCTTCTCTAACCTTTGGGCCAAAACTGTAAGCGGTGCTTACAAAAATAGGAAATTCAAACATCACACACAGGTAGTTGTGAAAATAAAATAAATTGTTGACATGTTTTTGGTATTTCTGTCAATGACTAACCATTGAGCAATATTAAAGTATATTATTAATAATTTATCGATTTTGTAAATTATTGTATTATTCATTAAGTTACATTATTATCACCCAGATTTACTTTTACTGTTAGACCAAATTCTCTAGTGGCCTTATGATGTAGAAAAGGTGATGAAGTATAAAGAGCAAGGAGGTGGAAGGGGTGGATCAAACCCAGGACCTTCACATAGTTAAATAACGTTACCGAGGTGACTTTGGTCCCTTACCTAGGTGAGTTAAGTCAGGTGACTTACATAATGTGTGTATATTAACCCAAAGCGCAATCTTTTCGTAAACCTAACCATGTGATTTTATTGCCTAAATCTAACCAATCTTCAACATTAACCATGTGTTTAACGTCACATGACTTAATAACGTGCTTAAGGTCCGTCGCGCCGGTCGCTGGATTGGTACTTTCTAAAAGTCAAATATGTCGTTTTGGGACAACTGAGCTTTGTATGCATGGCTGGAGTAACCTGTTTGGTGGCCCCGGTTCCCATCAAGCACATTACACACAGCACAGAATAGACGACGAGAGATACTCCCTGGCCTGGGTTTTCTGTATGTCTGTACTTAGTTTGTGGTAATTTGATGAAACACAACTTTATTTAGGAAAATGCACTGTGACCTCAAAATGATGCAGGGTGTAGTTGATATTACTTTAATGGTCCAAATTCCATTAGCAAGAAATCAAATGACCAAAAACCATCTGACAAGCAGCAAACCTGGAGCTTTTGGGACCCATGGAGGTCTGGGAACAGTTGTCTGGTTAATTCAGGCTTGATGTATCGACCGTGTGTGTCTGTTTGCATCACAGCCAAACAAACAGAAGGGTGAGAGAATCTATAAACTCACTGTTGACTAAAGACGACAGTCAACAATGTTAGACATTGTCTCTGTGCATGTACCAGCGTTCTCCTTCTGCGCCGTGTGCCTGCATGCATTGTTTCCTTTGAGATCCTTGTGTGGGGGCACACAGTTTGAATCCCATGTGGGGAAGGCAGACTCTGCCAGTAAAAGTGACAGCTAATAGAGAATAACAGAACGAAAACTGAACGGCTATTGTAGAAGAAATGCTGGTCGTAAATAGTTTTTAAAAATTGTGTTTGATATAATGAGGATTTCAAGGATTATATTTGAGTAAGCCTCAGTATCCTGAGAAACGTGTTACTCTCTAATAATCAGCTGTGTCGGAGAATCCAGACGTTGTTTTTTATGGACGTGTGCAAATGGAAAATTAATGGCCTTTCAGCATAATCACCTTCATTCCCGTCTCTGTTTACTGCAGCTGCTCAAACCTGGAGGTTTTTCACAGCAGAGACAGTTATTTGTCTCTAAAGACTCTGAGTACCATCAATTTCAGGAACCTTATTTTTTTCCAAGTCAAAGCAATTATTTTACAAGTAAACAAGCTAAACACTGAGGCGAGACTCATTTATGGAGTTTTAGCCCAGTTTTTACCAGAAGTCCATGTTTGGGAAAGGCTGATATATATTTGCTGATTCCTGACTCAGGCCTGCTGCGATTGGAGGAGCTGGTCCACCGCTTCCTCATCTCCAGAGAGACGCTGTCGGTGCGCATGCTGGACGACAGTCTGGACCCCACCCCTCTGCTGAAGGAGATCCGTGACGACAAAGTGGCCACAATCATCATCGACGCAAACGCCACCATCTCCTACCACATCCTCAGGAAGGTCAGGATGTCCGAGATTTGCTAGCAAACTGAAGAAACTGTTGATGCCGTTTTGTAAATAGCTATTGGTCTTATTTTTTCCAAGCGTGCATTATTTTATTTTTGTGTCAGTATTAAAAGTATTCTTCTGATAGTTTTGTTTCTTAGTAGTACAAATTGGAACTGCTACCAGCCGATGCAGCATGACTTTACACGGTGTAATGTAATGCAACAACTAGAGCCGACTGATTTTTAAGACCGATAGTGATTTTGATATTTGAGGATTTTAAAATCAAACTATGCAACAAAGGTAAAGGAGTAAAGGATCCAACTCTCTGATCCTCATAAATCAGCTGTTATAAATACCGATTTATCTGCAATTAGCTTATATCGGCCAATAATATCAGTCGGGCTCTAGTAACAACTGTAATATTAGGAAAATATGGGTTCAGGTGAAGCTGGGAGCCAACTGACTTCATGGCAACATTACGTGTCCTGTTTACACAAAGCATAAAGGAAACTGTATCACCAACACACAGAAAAAGAAAAAATAGGAATGACAAATCCCTAGATATTGTTTTTTTCCCATTTTAGACTTTCGTAAAAATACACCACTAACGCTCAGAATGTCCCATTCACTTGTTTTTTTTACATACCTGAGTTTATTCTGATGTTCCATTCATATTGGGTACCGAGTAAAGCGTATTATGGTGCCTCACTTAAAAATAGCGCCTCCGAGTCAGTAGAAATAAACACACCTTTATCAAATAGAAGGCACTCTGAGCAGTCCCGCTCCTCTGTTTCTTGTGTTTGTCTGCTTCTTCCTCTGTGGTGTATTCAGAGTAGAACAGGACCTGGTCTTCTGCCAAACTCACAGACTTTACAGCCGCAAACTTAATCTACCAGCTTTTGGCAGGTTGTAATTTCACTCTGTGCCCAGTAACCTTGGGCATATGAGAAGTTTTGAATAGGAAATAAAACGGATCAGTAACGCTGTCATGTTTGTCTTTTTTCCTGTAAAGCTCAGCTGCTGAAGGCAGAATCCAGCAGAGATAAGCTCAGGGTGTGTGGGAGGTTAATGGATTAATAACAGCGTCGGGCTGAAGCTTTTCACTGTGAGGTTTCCAGTTCAAATCCCGGCCTTGCTTTGAACATTTATACTGGTAAAGGTGTTGTGTTGTCGGCAGTCTGAAGCAGAGAATTTGTCTCGAGTGTCTGTGCTGTGAAATAGGACAGCGAAGTATCCTGACATGTTGTGATGTGCGTGATGCACCTCAGGGTTTTCTGGGTGTTATTGTGGAGGTGCCCCGTAAAGAGCACCTTTATGAACATCAGAAGAATTATGACATTTTTATGAAATATAATATTAGGCTAATTAAGCTTCAGGGAAAATGAGCTGCGCTTCCCCACACAGCAAAAGCCTCGTATTTAATGAATGAGGCGAGTGCTTAAACTGTCATCTCGTAACTACAGTGATAACGAGATGTATCAGGATCTGTCAGATTCAGCTGTGATTGATCGATCACAACAAACCTTCACTTTCCAGTAATTAATCAGAGCCGCATGTTGCTATGTCGGGAAAACAAAGAAAACATCCATTTTTGCAAGTTGGGAAAAGTCAAGACAAACAGCTCAATCAGTCACAGTGGGGAAGAATTAACCGCCTGACTGCAGCTCAGACACCAGGCTGAAGTTAGACAGATCATCAACAGGTGGACCTTTTACCCAGTGGAGTTTGCATCAAGCACCAAGAACCTTGTGTGTTTGGGTGAATTATGAATAGATGAAAGTAGTCTAGCCACAAAACTGTGTTTGTCAGTCGATCCACCACAACCTTCCCGTTGCAAAGCATGTTGTATTGTTAGCCTGGAGGCTGCTGTTTGCTTTGTGTCCCCACCATGAACATGATAGTTCTTCTTTTAATCAAGAAGATGAAGGTTCCCTTAACCCAAACCATGATCATCTATATGAGCCCACATGCCAGTGACACCATCATTGCACAACAACGCGTACTAGCTTTACCTTAAAGTGATGAACCCAATGTTTTAACCTAAACACTAAACCTAACCAAACCTTACGCTGATCAGGCTTTGAAAGACCGACAAATGACGTCGTCCGCCTGAAAGGAGGATCAAATCAGAAAGACTTCTGTGTGTTGTTCCAGAGGGCAGGGACAGACTACTTATTTTTTCTTTTAATTTGGAGGTTTGAAAAATACAGTAATTCATCGTGAAGGAAAAAAGTGAGATCTAAGAACTGATGAAAAAGACAAACTGACTATATGACAACAGTCCAGACTCGCATTCACCTCCTGCACATTGTTCTGTGGGGATCCTTGTGAGCAAGCATGTCAAAAAGCATCCTGGCTTGGTACCAAAGGTCTGGTGGAGATGTGACAGCTCCGGCGAGGAGCACTGTGCTGTTTTCAGTCAGCACTAAGTTCTGGATTTGCAGTTGAAAAGATGCTTAGACAACGATTATAATTCAGACGTCTACAGAACGACAAATTTAAGATTAAAGACGTCTAGACATTTTTTTCACCTGCAAGTTGCTTCTCCAGCTATTATTCTCCTTCTTATTATTGCCTCCCCAAACTTTTCTGAACAGCTTTTCATCACTGACAGATCCTGTAGTTGTATTCTGAGACATAATCACTGTTTCAAAGTTGTTTCATGTTATTAAAGAAGCAGGAACGCGCCGACACAGACTGTCAGGGTGAAACATAATTGCCTCCAATTTGAGACAAACTGCAGCGTTCATTGGGGAAATATAGAGCAGATGGTTCCTTTTTTAAATAAGCTGTGACTCGCGTTTCTTCGGAGAAAGTTTGAGGATGTTCTTGTTTCACAGCACTGACACGAGCTTCTTCTTGTTCTTCTTCTCATCCTCCTCTGGTGACCTGCAGGCGAACGAGTTGGGGATGACGTCGGCCTTCTACAAGTACATCCTCACCACCATGGTAAGGGCTGCACGACCACAAATATTACTTTTAATATTCCTTTTTTGTTTCTTCTGTTGTCCTCCTCTCTCATCTCCTACTTTAATACTGTCTTAAAGTCATTTTCCTTTCCTTCCCTAATCTCTGTCATACCCTAATCTATCCTCTTGTCCTTTCCTCTTTCCATTTATCCTCTTATCTTTCCCTAAATCATCTTGTCTTTTAGCAACTTTTTCTGTTGTGTCGTCAACTCTTTCATCCTACCGACCACTATAAAGTAGTTTTTTACTTTTAAGCTTTGTGGGGCACATCCTAAAACTAAAGGTGTCCAGAGGTAGAGGTTTCACTCCTTTCTTCTGCTCTCTGCCCTCACCCACTGCCTGCATATACAGTATCTCCTCTTTACCCATAACTCCTTACTCACTGCTCATCACAGATGCTGGCCCCGACACCGTTTGTCATCATTATAATTTCACTATCCGGTGGCGTGCCCTTGTGTGAAGAGACTTTGCGTAGATAATAACTCGTCTCGATCTCCGCCTCGCAAACCAAGGGCGAATCTGCCCCCCCCATCCAGCAGAACCCTGGATAGAAACCAAAAGTAAAATCATTTATTCCCCCACTTCACCCCTGCCACACACACTCGCACAGCTGCAGCGCTGTCTTTGACCTACCTTTAACTTTGTATTAAACACGCTCTGCTGACTGTGACAAGACGAACGGGGAGGACGACAGACGAATTCAGCGCCACTGTTTGACTGTGAGACGTCCGATTGGAGAAAAGATGGAAAAACAGGACAGGGAATAAGGTAGACGCTGCCAGACTCGGCGGTTATCTAAATTAAACAAGGTAATCCCAAAAGCCAATCTTATTGCATTTAAACCTCTTAAGAAAATCTTGATCAGGAGTAGTGCAGCTCCAGACGAATCACACCTCTTAAAGTTGCACTGATCAATGTTTTTACACGAAGGATGGAGGATGTGTAATGAGAATTGTCACCAACGCTGAAGTTTTGTTTTGTCTGGTTCAGTCTCAGTGCGCTCATCAACTGCAGCCTGATGAGAGCACTGAGACTGAAGCAGACAGAAAATGAGCCCAAAGTATGGCTTCCATGTACCATAAACTGTGTATAATGAGGGTCAAACCAAACATTAGATTAAGTTAATTACATTTCAGCTAATTGACTGCAGGATCAGAAATTTCCTCCAGAGGAATGCCATCTGGACCTCCTCCTTTATTTATTTGCGTGATGTTTATTTGCGTGAAAATTTGTACTTAAGTAAAACTACAGTTTTAGCAGCAACATATACTTAAAGTGCTAAAAGGGAACGTACTCATTATGCAGAATAGTCCATTTCAGAATAATATTAATGGAAATATTTATGCATGAATGTGATACTAACTTTAATGATGCAGCTTCATAGTTCAACGCACTGGGGGAAGACCTGTAGTGTGACTTTTGAACGCTGAAGGTAGGTGTAGGATATATAACAAAACGGTCATAGTAAGGACATGTTTGGGATGTTTGGTGGGCCAGAAACCGGACTTTAAACCAGGAGACTGGCGTTCTTTTCCCAAGTCATCACTGAATGTTTCTATTTAAGTTACGCAGGTTGCGTAAGTTATGCAAGCAACGTTACTTAAGGTAAGTAAGTAAAGTGGTTCTTTTAACCCAAACCATGATCTTTTCCTAAACCTAACCAAATTGCGACGTTTCACAATGTTAACAAGTTCTTTTACTATGAAAGTGTAACCGGGCGTTGCATATTTATTATTACAAAATTGACCACGGAGCCCTAAATTTTGAAAAATGACACTAAAGAGTCCCAGGGCGTTAAAAAAATGCTGTTTTTCCAGTACCAGCTCAGCTCGACTCGGTTTGGCTGTGCTCCGTCAGCGATCCACAAACAGCTGTCTCTTGATTTAAAAGCCACAACGTTTGAACCTTCCTCAGAATGTAAAGACAGATAAGCGGTATGAAAAGCTTCCAGCTGTGTTTTCCTCTGCCGTTGTTGCTGCAGCGGTCTGTGTGACGGCGGGAGCAGAGGGCTCTGTGAGCGGGCGGCTGGCCGGCCTCACACGCTCCTCCCGCGGGTCACAGCATTATTCCCCCGCAGCCACTCACGGAGCTCCTCAACTCCGAAAATATTCAAGCACATTTTTGTTCCACCATCAAACTGTCAATTCAAAATCTACACAGCTGATTTCTCAAGTGGATTTAGTGATGAAATAACGTGTGAAAATTGTAAAATATCAAACTTTCTGTTGCTGGCCTCTGTCTGGTGCAGCAATGATGATAGAATAGTGAATATTCTCTCTGACCAATCAGCAGTCTGCTGTGTTTTCACGTCACATTTTAGTATCCCTCAGCTCGCTTGTACCTCGATGGAGGTGATGTGAGTCGAGCTGGTACCGTGCAGTGGAAAAGGGGCTTTAGTGACTAGTTGGGAGTGAGAACGTGTTGGTTATAGTGGATCTAAGTCAACAGCTTTATTTGGGAAAATACAAAATTTATTTTTCTGTTAAATTTTTGTTGTTAATCTGTAACTTGTAACTAAAGCTGTAAAATTAAATTTACAAGTGCAGTATTTCCCTGTGAAATGTGGTGGAGCAGGAGTATGAAGTGTAGTACCTCAAAATTGTAGTTTTACTTACAGTCCTTAAGCAAGTGTACTTTGTTAGTTTCCAGCAGTGTGTACAAAGTGTATAAAACTTTACTGAGTCATGAATAGAATACTATGAGCCAGGAGGCCAGAACTCGCTCTCTGTGGGTGAAGTAATCAGTGAGTCACAGGTACTGATCAATAACCTAATCAAACCCCTGCAGATATATGACGGTCATGTTCTCCTGAATAGGGTAGGAAAGAATCTAAATCTTACTTATTACTCTTTGAAACTCCCACAAATCTGAGACAGAGACACTGTCACATCCTTTCTTCAGAGAGCACTGAACTGACCTTGTACCGCCCTCATCGGCTACTGAAAACCTGCTTCTGTCTAAATGAACGTCCTGTCCAAACTGTGCTGCAGTCACAGCATCACTGGCGTCCTTCTGGGATACTGTCGCAGTGTTTCCTCCCTCAGCAGTGCTGGCCTGGTCGCTGGGACTCCTCCAGCCAACAGCTCTTTGTCACAGCTGGCAGGCCTACAGTCTGACAGCGTATTTGGCTGTAGCTGAAATTGATTTGGCAACTGGCAACCACACCGGCAACAACAGCAACAACAGCAGCAGCAGCTTCCCGACAGGTTGGGACATGGTTAAGTAAATAAGTGTCGACGAGATTCAGGGAAACAGAAATTAACCTTACACACAGGTTAACAGCTGGACAGAAAGGGCTCTGAATATGCTCTGGATGTTTGACTAAAGCTCAGTGACTCCACCACCTCACACCTCGACAGAAACAATTTCTGCAGACCAGAGAGTTTCTGTGCCAGAATATTTTAACCCCGCTAGAGACCAACACTTTGGTCCAGAGAAATATACACGACAAAGACAGTAGAAGCAGTCAAAAATGTCAAAACTCAACTCGATTTGAAGGCCAATGAGTAGGTGAGTGTTTAGCTTGAAGATGTCAGCAGTCTGAGCAGTTCTTATTTGAACAGGTAAAATATTCCAAAGATTAGGAGCAGCCACTGAAAAGGCTCAGCCACCTTTATTTTTTAACCCCGAGGAGCATCTGATTGGATGAACTCGGTGCTTTGACAGAAGTGTGAACAAGTAAAAGTTCTAATAAATAAAAAGGTGCCGATGCATTTTAAATCTCTAACATGGACAGGAAGCCAGTGGAGTGAGGCTAAAACGGCTAAAAATGTGCTCAAAAGTATAGTAAAGCAGTGAAACAGTAAAGAAAATGAATAGATACACAAATAAACTATATAATACAGCATTTCATCCAAAAGTTGATCGACAAGCACACCGATCATTAATTGGAGCCTCTAAATTGCAAATAGAAAGTAAAAGCAGATTTATGAGTGAGGTACATGGAGCTCATTTCATTGCAGTGATGTAAAATTAACAAGCGCAACTTCAGCTGGTGAACAGATACGAGGGGAAAGCAGCAGGTGAAGTGTTGGGTCAGTATCAGTATCTGAAGGTGGTAGCGACCCTGCCTGCATCCACTTCACAGCTGAAGCTAAATGTTTCAGTGTCAGCATCTGTTTCAGAGCAAACACAAACCCTCTGAGGGCCGAGCAGCAGTTTGATTCTGGTTTGTTTCAGCAGCAGAGCTCAGCGTGACACCGGCTCGCCTTCATGGACTATTTGAAGTTCTTTGAAATTCCCCGGCGTTTGATGTCCGTCTTTTTTTAAAACCCTTTTTTTTCTCTCTGTTAGCTTGCTTTGGATTTAAAAATTAAACTCGACGTTGTGCAGCCTGCAAAAGAAACCCCCAATCAAGCCCTCCGTTTGTTTCTATCCTCCTCATCCTGCTTTTCTTTCATCCTTCACAAGTCCGGGAGTTTCTCCCCGCTGTGATCTTAAATGGTTGTTGATTCAGCATCTCACCACTCTTACTTTTCTCCACATATTGTTAACATATATGATATAAGACAGAAAAAAGACTGAACTTATTTTCTTTGCTCTGTCTCGCTCTCTTTCTGTCTGTCGGACTCCAGGACTTTCCTCTGCTCCGGCTGGACGATGTGGTGGACGATCAGTCCAACATTGTGGGCTTCTCCATGCTGAACAGCAGTCACCCTTTCTACCTGGAGTTCATCCGGAGCCTCAACATGTCCTGGAGGGAAGGCTGCGATGTAAGCCCATACCCAGGGCCAGCGGTGAGAGACCTTTACACACTGGTCCACAGGGAGAGGCAAAAAGAAAGCAGAAAGACAAACCTGCCTGCACTAGAATTTCATCCCTGTGTCGTCACAGGGATGAAATGGAAGTGGCTGGACTACAAACCAGCTGTTTTCAGTTCAGAGCAGAGTTTTCTGTGGGAGATGGGAACTCTCTTTGGGCTTTTTCACTTTGCAAACCTGTTACATGCACAAAAAAGGTATAAACTCAATAAAGGAGAGGGATCAAGCCAAAAAGCAGAATATCACCTCTTTAAGTTGTTTGTGTATGGTTATTATTGGGGGAGAAATATTTTTTCAGCAGAGAGTTTTCAACCAAATCTTTTTTTGTTATGAATGGTCAATAAAAAAAAATTCAAGATGTTTTAAGTTGTTGGAAAGCAAAATTAATGACAAGCAGAGATAATGAAATAAAAAAATTTGATCACTAGTCTTAAAATAATGCAAAAAACTTAAATGGGATTTCCACATAATGAGCTGAATAATACAAGATGAGCGCTATATTTTATCTTAAGAGGAAATAAAGGTGTGACCTCAACAGTTAAATATTTCAAAATTACAATCAAGTTCTTGCTCAGATTTGAATTAATGTATTAGGTAAAATATATTCAAACTGATTGTGTTTTTGAGGAAAATATTTAATTAAATTTCAAATAAAGATTTTTTGGAATAAAAATCCACCCATTGTAGTTAAATAAAACATTTATCTAATCCCAAATAGAGAGAACATTGAGTGAATTCAAATTAATGTAATCAGGCAAATTTTAATTTAAAAGCACTTCCTGTCAAAGTTTTTTTAAGTTTTTTAAATGCAGCAGGCTATCACCCACAAGACATTTGAATCTTGCAAAATTTAACTGGTTGACTAAGGTAAGAAAACTTCTGTTATCATTGGGCTAGTAAGAACAACGTATGTAGTGGTATATTACAATATAAAATGAGCTATCACAGAAAAAGTAACTCGGCAGCAACACAAAGTTGGCTTCTGTTGGCAAGGCTATATATTAATGTAGTAGTGTGATTTTTTTGCTCTATGAAATGAACACAGCATTATACATTTTGGAAGAATTCATATGTATTGAAAGCCAAACGATTAGTTTGAAGGATGCGGGTTAGCGTTTCCGCTATCATGGTTCCTACGTCCTTTGCTTGTTGATATATCCTGTATGTTTTTATGAAATTGCGTAAATAAGTACATTGGGTTTAATGTTAAGGTTAAACACGTTTCCATAAAGAGAAATATTGGGGGTTATAACTGGAAGATCACCTTATGGTGGTGATGGTGCAGTGGATAAGACACATGCCTTTGGTGTGAGAGACCCAGGTTCAATCCCCCACTGTGACCCATCCACCATTGTGTCCCTGAGCAAGACACTTAACCCCTAGTTGCTCCAGAGGTGTGCGACCTGACATGTATAGCAATTGGAAGTCGCTCTGGATTAAAGTGTCAGCTAAATGAATAAATCTAAATGTTATATTTCAGATGGCACTTGCCGCACTTCCGTCGGCATTGGTTAAATTCAAATTAATGTAGATGATTAAGCAATTATATATCATTGATATATAGAATTAAATTATTTTTTATTAGTACTATTTACACATAGGTGAGTTTCTTTTTCAAATCAACTCAATATATAATTATATACCGTTTTCTATTCAAACTATTAAGAGTCTCACTTAATTAATATTTACTCAATACCAAACATTGTCAAATTTAATTAATAATATTGCTTGTAATCTGTTGCCTCATTTTTATTGAGTAGTTATGGTGTATCTTGCATTACAGTGCATGTTGTGCAGTTGTAGTAATGCCTCATTTCTTTCATTACTCCTCCATCGATCCTTCTCCCAAAATCTTTCTCCTCCTCCATAATGAAAGGGCCCATCAGGACAAATCAATCTCTTCAGAGCTGAGCACACTGCTTTGATGAAGATAATAGTAATGGCAATAGTGTTTGTCTCAGTAACTAAAGACTCCATCATCACTGCAGAGAACATCTCCTGGGGGTATTTTACTCATATTTATTTGCTCTGAGTGCTTGAGGGGGTTTGAAAAGGGCCATAAATGGGGTTGTTTTGATTGGAATGAACTTTATTATTGTTATGATTATGGTCATTACGTGATGATCAGATGAAGAGTATCAGTCTGAAAAGACTGCTGGCAGTCTATTCCTTACAACGCTCATCCAAAAACAATTAAAAGCACATGAATGGGCATCACTGTCTCCTAGCAACTGCATCTGATATGTTGTGGAGGGAAGGTAATTCACGTCTGCGTTTACTTGCAGCGTTGTTCCCAGCCCACGAACTGCTGTGTTGTTGTAATGCACAGGAGCCATAAGGAGGGGATCTGAAAGCAGAGACCGGGTTCACATCCTGCATCTGACCTGTTGTTGGGTTTAGAGTAATAACACTTGGTTAAAAGGTGCAGTGTGAAAGAATTGAGGCTACTCTCCACATGTCAGTTTAATACTAAAAAAAACTAACTGCATCAGAGGGGCAGCGACAGCGTGTAGAGCAGAATATTTTCATATCCAACTCGGTGAATTAAGGATTCATTTCAACCAATCCAGAGTTGGTGATTGTCGGGACACTGGAAAGACTAGCCAAGACAGTTTTGGTGAGTTTGATTGAGTTTCTGTAGAGTCTGAATGAAGTTTGTTTTACGTTGAGTTAACAAAGCAGTTAGTTCAGTGAAAGAGAATTCAGAAGGTGTATTTTTCTGAATATTTCCTCTCTTGACATTTTGAGAGTTTATTTATTAGACTAAAAGAAAAAGCTAAAGAGAACTTGTGTAACGTAGCAAACCCGCACACATCTCCCAGCTCTAACTACAAGGGGAGAAATGAGCTATAGACCTGGAGGTAGAAATGGTATTAAAAAAAAAAAATAAAACACACAGGACGGGCCGGGGCTGGCAGGTTATGCTAAGGTCAGTAGGTATCTCTGCAAAACATTACATAGACGTCTTTGACATGACATAAGAAGTGTTACCTCACATTCTGTTGATAATGTTGGTTAACTTTTGAGTATTTTAAAGATTTAAATTCTTACACATTGCACCTGTAAGGTTGGATTGTTGGTGGTTTTGGTAAAAAAGTAAACACGTTCGGTCTCGTGCGTCAAGTCAAGGCATTGACCTTTTCAATATATAACCAAGACCGCCACCTTTCCCGAACTTGAAGTGTCACGCGATCTGGTTGCAAATGTTGGTGGACCCAAATGCAGGACACGGATTCAGCAAGTGAAGTTCAAAGATTTAATTAAACACAGGGCGAGCACACTTACAGAGAGTCCAGGGTAATCAAAGTAAATTAAGCAATCCCAACGAACAAATGATCCAACTGGTAATCCAAGAACTGGCGGGGGAAAACGGGCAGACAGAGGAAATCACAGGACAGAGCATTACAAGCTACAATGACCGGACAAGGACTGAAGACACGCAGCAAACATTTAACACCAGGGACTAACAAGCAGGGCGGGAGCAACACTGGTGACCGGGATCAGGACTAACGAGGCAGAGAGACAGCAGGGGGGAACAGAGAGACAGGCATGCAGAATGATCAAAATCAGATTAATGAAACTTGCAGAGAACATAAATTGACACCTGGCAAACAGACAGAACCCAAGCATGATGGTACAGAAACTAATACATGAGAAAGGAACAGGAAAATAGCAAAACACCACTAAACACCAGCTGACAGATAGTAACCAGATAAACAATAACATCAGGTAGAGGACGCACACTAAAGGTAGCAAGCAATCAACAAATCAAATGCATGTCTTGGAGAAGTGGATTTGGAGGAGGTCTGATGGGAGGGCATTTTTTTTCTCCGTTACCTACACTAGCTTTTTTTCAGCTGGTAAATTAGACATTAACATTATCACACTTTCAGTTGATACTGATCTGATTCTATTACAACATAAATTTGTCTCCTTATTCCAGAGAAAATCCAGTAATTATGCCCCCGAGACCTAAAACCAATCATCACACACCCAGAACAATGAGGCAACACCATGTCCAAAATTGTTCCACATGACAACACAGATCTCATAGTGTGGGCACAGATCTTTAACATTAAGCAGGTAAAGAGCTTAAATACTAAATGTGAGTACCAAAAATGATACATAGTTAAGTCATGATCTCCTGATGATCAGCCTGATATTTCAGGCTATAAGGAACGTTTACTTAAAGTTGCTGCATATGTGTACAAGAGGAAACAGCTGCAGGACCAAACAGACAGATTGGTGAGAGCTGCCAATTATTTTTCACTCTTTCTGTCTCTATCTTCCCTCTTCTATCTTTCTCTCTTCAAACTGTAATTAATTATCGTCATCCAGCCCTGAAACTATCGACTCGGCGAGAACTTCAATCACACTCAGTCAAACATCCATCTTCTTTATCAGCCGTCGACAGACTGTGCAGCTCTGCCTCCATACAATTTGTCTGATTCCCTCAGAGTGTCAGTTTGAGTGACAACTGACCAAACAGACCAGAACGTTGGACTCTGATAGGATCGCCGAGCTGTACGAGCCGCACACTGAACGCCACTGATAGCAGGAGCCTTTCAGTTTTTCTGCTATCATTCTGACGCCCTTGTCTGAGCATGAACATACACACAACCACATGTTTCTATTGTTTGTGTAAGATTCATTGTTTGTATGAACAATATAAAATCAGATGACAGAGAATAAGCACCCACTCTGCAGCTCTGCAGAGCTTTTTAGCCTCTTTTAGCTCCTAGTTTTGTTTTTGCGGCACATTTCCTTTGGCTTAGCAAAAGCACGAGGGAAAACGCTAACTGCTATGCTTAGTAGTTGTAAGCTAACAGTTTGCAAAACCACAAAGTCTCATTTTCTGTTGAAGTAAATTGATTTGTTGAATCGCACAAGAAGCTAGTGGGGGCTGTTTGGTTTGTCACAGCAACTTTAGGAGGCGTAAGAAGCCAGTTGGCTTTTCACAGGCAAGTTTCCTAAAATTCAATTTTGTTCATTGTTTTCTTTAAATTTTGTGTTCCAGTTATCATCCGCCCTGATGTTTGATGCCATATATGTGGTGGTGAGCGCTGTGCGTGAGCTGAATCGTAGTCAGGAGATCGGAGTGAAGCCACTGAGCTGCACCTCCCCGCTCATCTGGCAGCATGGGACCAGCCTCATGAACTACCTACGCATGGTAAGCACACACATGCTGGGAAACCACAAAGGTGTAATATCTTTTAAACTTCCTCAGAGCCACGAGAAGCTGGTTTTATGTGTGAGAAAACCAGTAAAAGCGAGGCATACAGTATGCGCCGGGTAGGCAGCTTTCACTGGAATAAATGGGTGCCATCTTGGAGTTTGGTATCCAGTTGTCATAATACTTACATGGTCTTCTCGTCCAACTCCACAGAAACAGTTTCATGCCTAGTGTTTCCTGTACGGAGAAAGGTCGAGGATGTTTCAGCCTAGATAAAAGACTGGAAGCAGGGAGAATGTGCTAGCCTAGCTCCATCAAAAGAGAAAAAATACACAGCTCAGCAACTGCATTACCCCTCAGGCAAAATCTTCAACTCTTGCTTGAATTCCTAATGTTGTAGTGGTACAAATAATCCCCTGACAGTGTAGTATTAGTGTTATAGAGACTGTCCTCACCAGAAAAACTATAGCAGTTGTCACTTATTAAAATTCCTAACATAAATTGACCAGATTTCTGAAATGAAAACCGAGGACATTTTTGGTTTGGTGGTCAGTATGTCATTGAAAAATAGTTTCATAATCTTTCAAAAATAAAACATTTTCTGAAAGTCATTTTGAAGCAGAAACTAGCTTTCAGTCAATAAGTAGAGGCTGCAGTCACTTTCTGGCAAGTTGAATACGGCATTTTATGTGTTGTTTTGGCCATTTAAAGGTATTTTAAGAGGTAAAAAAGTACTAGGTGAGTTAAAATCTGTCAAATTTAACCCTCATGAATATAATCAAGTCATTTCAGGGAAGAAATAAGGTTTCAGCCAATAATTAGAGGCTTCAATCACTTTCTGGCAAGTGGAATACTGCATTTTATGTCTTGTTTGGGCCATTTAAAGGTATGTTAAGAGGTAAACAAGGACTGGATTGGTTGGTACACAGCAAGTTAAATAATGTAGAGTAATAAGGATCATTGCAAAAGAGATCATGTCTTTATTTTATATATAACTCAGCAGAAAGTCATGTTAATTATAGGCTACATTCCGTTTTCTAAATGTAAACAAGGATATTAGACACACGCCCACCAAAGACATTTTCCATCAGCAGCAACAGCAGCTTCTATTATTGCCTATAATCACATAAAGGTCACACCTGGTTATACTATGAAATGCAAACACTTGTTTGGCCACAATTGTGATTATTCTGTTAAAAGAACAGTTAACGTATTACAAAGAAGACAAACCTTTGCGACACAATGTGATATTGTGTAAGGGACAGCTCCAGACGGAGACAGGCCACCAAAACTGGAAAATGGGGATGTCTAGTCAGTTTGGAAGGAAATAGCACACAAGATATGTTGTAGTTTAGTTTGGAGATCTTCGGTGTTGCTGGAGATCATTCTGCCTATTTCTTTCCTGTTTCATTTCCATGTTCATGACATTTATTCTCGTCCTCCTCTTCCCCTGTTTCTGTCTGTCTGCCTCTTCTTGTTCCATCCATCCGCTGAGGATGCTACCCCCCTCCTCCATATTGTTTTTGTTGCTCTCAGTGCATCACTTCATCATCTCCACACTGTTTTTGGCAGCAACCAGAGACCTCTCTCCCTCTTTCTCCAACTCTTTCTCTCCCTCTCTCTCTCTGCGTCTCCCTCTGTCTCGCACTCTCATTTTTGGGATGTAATTCATCTTGAGTCATGCAGATACGCACACATTCATTCATACTGTACGTGCACACAATTTCACATAAACTCAGGCACGAAATGCACACTTGCTGCACACGTCTCACACTCATTTGCACATTTCTGCAAACACACACACCCACCCACGCAAACACACCAGCAGCTCAGTCACTCATCTGATGAGCTGTCTGTCTGCCTGCTCTGCTTCTTCATTTACTACCAAACTTATTTTTTTCTTTTCATCTTTTTCTCCTCGTCAACGTTTCCATTCTGAATCAATAATCGTCTCTTCCTTTTTGTGTCAAATTAAACTGCAGCCAGTTCAACACTTCTGGTTCAGCTGCTACAAACATTTTGTGTCAGCATGTTTTGATTCTTAAAGAGCAAATTGCCGGTTTTTAAACTAAATGTGTGCTTAACCTTTCCTGATAATTACTATTTGAAAAGTTAATGCAGAATTTTAAGTTTTTCAAGGACAAAATTCCGAGGAAGAAATGACGTTTAAAGTAATGCTCTAAAAACACTTCATATTACCTAACAAAAGGGAGTTGTTATTCAGTCTTTTGACACGCCCATGGTTCCCCTCCTGACTAATCCCCACCTTCATAGCAAGTGTCACCTATTTCTATGGAAAACTCAAGTGAACGTTGTGAGATCGACCCTTCGAGGGCAGAGGGAGAGCGTCATTAATGATGGTCACTCAGTGCTGCATTTCCGCTATGACGTCAATGAGCTATGTAGTTATTCCCAGGATAATTTGTTAATCCTAAAATTGTACTTTAGGCTGTAGAATTTATGCTACTGTTCTAAGCTCACAAGAGAAATTTCTGAAATTGCAAGCCTGCTGCAGACGAAAACATCGTCACCTCATTGATACGCATCAGTAGTTATTGTGAAGTAGAGCAGGGAACAATAAAGTGTCAACGATTCATCATGTAGCTTACCTGCCGACTGTAAGAGAAAAAAAGAAGTCTTAAAGTCTTAAAAAAATGTTGCTAAATGCAAATCAAATGCTGGGAGAAATCTGGTATTAAAAATCTGGTAGTAAACGTGCAGTGTAGGTCACAGTGTGTCCGTTAATAAAAGTTCCCAAACTGCTGGAAAAGTGAAGGCGGTTAGAGCTAGCTAACATCTCCTCTGTACAGCAGATATGAGAACATCAGGTACAAGCTTAGACTAAACTGGTGTATAGCTCTGTCCTGTACACTTACTGTGCATCCTGGTAATAACATTTCAGTTTTCAGAGGAGTCTGACAACTGGTTGTTAAAGAAATGAAGGTGGTGACCGTGGAGCTGAGGTGAATGAAGTAAATTAGGAGATGGATTTTAATGCGCAAATTAAATGCTTAGTAATTATCCAGAGATCATGTATAGAAAAAAATTATGCATTAAGATTTTACCGATAGTGATTTTATAATCGCGTCGCAGCCCTCTGAATTGGAATCAAATCATGAGGTGCCCACAGATTTCCACCACTACACTATTTTAAGCCTGATTTGCAAGTCAAGCTGTGATCGGGGGCCAATCAGCGCCAACTGGCGCTTGCCAATCACAACAAAGCATTTTACATTTATTCATTTAGCTGACGCTTTTATCGAAAGCGACTTACAATTGTATACTGAATACATCTGGAGCAAGTAGGGGTTAAGTGTCTTGCTCAAGGACACAATGGTGTCTCACAGTGGATTCGAACCCAGGTCTCTCACACCAAAGGCATGTGTCTTATCCACTGCGCCTCTAACCCTCTTTGTAGCACAGGCAATCCCTACTGCCCACATGTGCTTATCAATTCTTTCACCCATATTCTTTGCCTTTATAATGTTCACATTTAAAGCAATTAACAACTTGTGTTTCCCGCGTGGTTCCAGTGTCAGTTTTCAAGTAGTTTTCTTGACAAAACGTTGTTTGGAGATCAGTTGTCGGGTGACAGAAGGATGGACTTTCAGCCAACGATGTAGGCCTAAACAGTCAACATTTCGGTCAGCTGTTCTTGTGATGCTGGTGGAGTAAGTGGGTCGAACTCTAAACAGGCTGTCTGTGTGTTAAAGTCCTCAGCATAGACCACAGGACAACGCATTCCTACTGGAGTTCTGAGTGATGGAATAAGCCAGTGTGACGCAGCACAGCCCTCCTAATTATGATGACGGCGGTGGCCTAAAAAGAAAAAGCTTCCTCTGCTCTACTTGTTTTTGGGTAGCATGACAGCAAAACAAAAGGGAGTCGATAGTATACTTCCTTATTAAAGTGATGTTTTACTAATGTATACAGCTCAAACGTACCACTCTGTTCACACCAATCCAACTTTTTGCTGCGCAACTGGCAACAGCGTAGATGCTGTAGATGTCGTTGGCCTTTTTTTGATGCAAGACACATGCCTTTGGTGTGAGAGACCCGGGTTCAACTCCCCACAGTGACACATCCACCATTGTCCAGAGGCGTGCAACCTCTCACATATATTATATATAGCAATTGTAAGTCGCTTTGGATAAAAGCGTTATAATAGCATCTTCCAAGCTGGCTAGCATGTTAGTGGTTAGCTCGCTAGCTGCAGAAAACCAATCTTCTTGAATCACTTATATTGTGTCAATTCACAGATTAATCTCGCTGTGCTACTTTCTGGTGTGACTACAGGGCCTTTATTCTCTTAATTGTGTCAATTCTGAGTCTGGGACTAGCTAACTTGGCATTCACCAACTTAGTTGTGGAGAAACAACATACTTTGTCGGGGCATTTCATATAAATCCTTCTGGTTATCTCACAATCTGACACAAAAACAGAAATTAGCTCCTTGGATTAGCTATTGTAGCTTACTGCTTTTGGGTAACCTGTCTTACTGGTTGCAGCCTGTCAGCTAACATCCTTTGTTGGTCTCTCTGTTTGTCTCATCAGGTGGAGTACGATGGTCTGACGGGTCACATTGAGTTCAACAGCAAAGGTCAGAGGACCAATTACACACTGAAGATCCTGGAGAAACACCCTGGGGGCCATAAAGAGGTCAGAGGTCAAATGGGGTCCAGTGGCAGGCAGACAGGCCAGAGGTTATGTTAGCATTTAGCTGCAGGAATTTCCCAAAACTGTGTATTTCATTCGTAAGTGTTTTTTAATCTGTTAAAGTAGCAGGTTGGTACATTTTTACGAGGTAGAAACAACTTCCTGTAAATGGACAGAAGGATCAATACCGTTTTGTTCCTGAATGTTCAGGTCTGCAGCCACTGCCAGTCGCAGTAAGCATCTCTATCATTAATCCGTCAATAAAGTCAATGCTTTATGACCTCAGGTGAAGATTTAAAGGTCAGAAATCATGTGAGGTCACCACAGTCAAATGGGGTCACAGGCCAGGGCGCGCCGTAAAAATTAATGCAGTGGTGAGGATTCTCACTTGATTTATACGCTGACTTAAACCACTAATTTCAACAAATTAAGTCCAGTGCAAATTCTCTTTATTTTCTCTGGTAAGGAGCTTATGTTTTCTGTTCTGTTTGTCTGTTACTAAACTGGAAGTTCCTGCACCACCCTCAGGCCACCATGTCTACAGTGAGTAAAACATTAGTTTAAGGAAAGACTTAAAAGAGGATACTGACATTGCCCGCCTCTACAACAATCTACTTTAAAAGTAATATGCACAGGATTTGCACAAATTCTTCTTAGTTGTAAAAAGTACCGTTACAATTGTTTGAACCTTTTTAGATGAAGGTTCAAATTAGAACATTAAATTAAGATTAAATAGATCAGATATTAAAATCCCAATATAAAAACATAAGTAGTCTATAGAGAAGAGTAAATGCATAATTAACTGAATAATGAAATATGAACAAACCTGACTTGTCCCTGGTAATTATTTCTACCACTGCCAGGAACCGAGTCTCAAATGAATAGTTTGACATTTTGGGAAATATGCTTATGCACCATCTGGGGGAGAGTTAAGACTAGATGTTAAGACTGAAACTTAGAGTGGAAATGGGGTCTAAAGGTAACCAAATCTACCTACCAGCACCTCTAAAGCTCACTAATCAGCACCTTGTATCTTGCTTGTTAATCAGTCCATCCTGCAGACAAAAGACTGAAATTGTCCTGCACATAACCCCCTATAAAAACCAAAACTTGTTATATTAACTCCTCGGTTTTTGTATGGATTACATTTATTTTAGATATAATATAGTTACATTACTTTTGGATTACTGTGCAACATCACCTGTGATGCAAAATAACCATATAAAGGCACACCTCATATCTGCTCAGATCAACGCAAATATTTATTATAATGAGGACATACACAGGATCTGTCTTTTATTCTCTTTAATACTACAAAGCTGACAACAAAGAACATCAGCGCAACATTTTTCAAGAGAAGAACAAGGCTACAGTACAGCACTACAATGCAACAAAGAACTGTAATTGGACATTTCACTGGAAACATTTATTTTTTTAAATATTGAATTTCTTTACAATACAACATAACTCAAAATAGGTTGTCCTTCCAACCATCTAGTGCAAATATTAATTTGTTGAAAATAATATCTATAAAAACAAATAAGACACTGGCCCTCATCAAAATATCAGATGATGCTGAGACTTCAAAAGAAAAACAGTAAGAGGGAAGAATTTAGAAAAGTGTTCCGCAAACACGCACATAAAGTGACATTATGCAGATAGTTCAAGAACCAGTTCGCAAGTAACGCAATGATTTTGTTATTATTAACTGTAATGTGATTACTGAAGTTATCAACAGTAATGCGTTACAGACAAAAGTAATCTGAGTACAGTACCCCCAACACTGCCTGTAGTGGAAGGTTGTTTAAGAACAACATGCATAAACTAGAACATAATGAAAACATTTTTATGCTCAGATAATCAATCAGAGAAATAAGAGAGGAAAGTTTGTGGGAGGTAAACAAGGAAACAAAAAAGCCCATAAGACAGACATGAAAGGGTGGACATGATTTAAGGGAGGAGAGGATGGGAAGACACCTGAAACCTAGATGAGTTTTCACATCACGATGGAAGTCGGGAAGTAGTGGCCCCTGCCCTTTATCGGCCTGTCCCTGGGAGACAGCACAGTGAATGCTCACACAAACAAGAGATCAGGTAGGTCATGAGGTCAGGGGATGTGACGGGGTTGGTGTTAGGTCTGCAGATGGTCGTTTACGTGCTAAAGTACTTATCTATGACCTTATTTAACCCGCTGAATGCGCCGGGAGGAGTCTGATACTCCCTCATTGATTTTACCATTGATTCTGAAGATAGGATTATTCAGCTTCCTCTGTGGTCTGTCTCTCTGCCTCTAATAACCCACTTTAATGATTTTTATCTGTTTGTCTGCTGCCCTTTGTCCTTGCTTTCTTTTCTCCCATCTTTCTTATCTTTAAGTGAGCACTTTTATTTCTTCATTTCCATCCGGTTTTCTTCGTGGCCCATCCCCATCTTTCTTTGGATGCAGCAAGATTTATGACCATTGAGGATTTAAATGAGACAATGCAGACACACTCTGGCTGTGTCCAAATGCAGTCTCTGAACAACCTGATGCCTTTAGTACCAGGTTAGGTTTCAACATCAACTTTTCCTGCCTCAAGTCTCGCAAAGCCCAGAAATAACTGTGTCTTCGGATGTTCCTGGTCAACTCCTATACTCCCAAATTTTGGGCACAAGGTTCATTTAGTTGTTTTACTAGAGCTTTTGATCAGATGACATGTTCTTCACCAGCAGATGGAGTTTGCCCAGTTGTCATCATAATTTAGATGTTCAAATTTCAACCTTTCTAAGCTTGTCTGGTACCACAAACTAATCTCACAAACTAAAGGTTAATTTAGTAGCTGTTCTGGTACTTTCCATCATATCACATGATCTTCAACCTTATAATTCATCCTTAATCTGGGCAAGATTACTGCTATTTCCGAGGTGAAGAGTGCTTCTTTGAAACTCAACTTTTAAGCCAATGTGGGATGATCATCATGAATTTACACCGTGCGTGAGTATTTGCACCATCTACTCCTGTGTCAGGACCAAGCGGGAAGCTTCCGGCCATGCGGCATTCAGACCAAACGCGAATTTAATCCACTCAACGCTTTCCTTGCGGGGGTTTAATCGCTGGAACTCGGCATTACTACAGCTGTAAAGTAAACATTTTGCTGTGATTTAATAGCAATAAACGGGTCAAACTGATGCCGAAATAAGTACAACATGATGCAGATTTGTGAAACATATGAATTCATGCTTTGTCAGGTCTGTCAGCAAGACAGCAGGACAACAACTTCTAAAATGTTTGTTTTCTGAATGGAGTTCGGATCGATCAGGGCTATGCTATGCTAACATGGTCCCAGTAAAGTACAACGATAGCTGGAATATAGTTCGGTACACGTGTTTTCTGAACTCACCAGGTAGTTCAACCTCTTCGCTTTCTTTTCTCCAAGTAACGTCCAGTTTTGTCCGGTTTTTATATAAATATGAAGTAGTGCCAAACGATGCTAAAAACTCGGCCTAACTCGAGGCTTCAAAATGGCAGTTCACAAACCAGCGGGTGACGTCTCGATGACCACGTCCACTTCTTGTATACAGTCTGTGGTCAGAACCGTCTGTAAACCATATGTCTGTTGTGGACTGGTTAATACCCTTTTCTGTTCCCCCAGAGGTCAGCAGTGTCTAGACAATTAGCTATTGTTCCACAGTGCAAATTTTCAAGTTAATCAATTTTACAGTTTTAAAGGCTGGTGTGACCAGGCCTGATGAGGTTGTGCAGCGCTATGAGAATGTCTCCTTTGCAGAAGAAGGTCATTTCAGACACTTCAACAAACAAGTGATGCTGTCAGGGTTTTTTTTATTGGTCCACTCGATGTCATCGACGTACCTGTGACCCATAGCCACCCGAACACATACACCTGGAAAATCCAACGTGGTTATGCAATATTTTCTGAGATTAAACTTGCCTGAATGCACCGTTAAATAGTTTATGGGCTGATTAGGACACTCAGTTGTTGTCTTTCAATTGTTGGTAACAGAAGGCCACATTTGGACTATAGTTGTTGTCATCTTTTAAAAAAACACATGCCTTTTCAAACTTTATTCTTCCTTTCATCTTACCTCTTCCTCCTAACACCTATTTGTCCTCCTCTTCTTCTTGGACGGACAGATTGGTACCTGGTACTCCAACAACACATTGGCCATGAACTCTACTTCCCTGGACCTCAACGCGTCAGAGACGCTGGCTAACAAGACGCTAATCGTCACCACAATACTGGTAAAAAAATAAAAATGAGTCATGTGGATAATGTAGCGCAAAATACGACTCGTTTGAATCGGCTGCTTGATGATGTCATATCTCATCTGACAGGAAAACCCATACGTGATGCGTAAGTCCAACTACCAGAACTTCCAGGGTAACGACCAGTACGAGGGTTTCTGTGTGGACATGCTGCGGGAGCTGGCCGACATCTTGAAGTTCTCCTTCAAGATCAAGCTGGTGGACGACGCGCTGTACGGGGCCCCAGAGCCCAACGGCAGCTGGACCGGCATGGTGGGAGAGCTGATCAACAGGGTGAGTAGCGGCGGGAAAAAACAGACGCAGAAATTCCTTGAATCCACCAACTGACAGACACCTTATATTTTAAAATTGAATGCAAACATCGTAACATTATAATTGTTCACTGTACTAAATGAACTGAAATCGCTGGCTGCTGCCTGAAAGGACGGACCTCTAAATATGGATATACGGTTTGGGACAGGGTCAGCAGTAAAACTGATTTTCCATTAAACTTCTTGTTTGTTAAAGACATCACCTTGTGTTCTGGTGCTTGATAGATTAATTAATTTATAAAACATATAGCCGGTTTCAAACTTTCCAAAAGGGTGCTGACTCTCCAAAGTGTCCTCATTTCCCAGGCTTGACTCCCTTTTTAAAAAAATGTAGTGACTTTTCATGAATGTCCTCACTTTCAGAAAATGTCCTCTCTTGCCAAAATAGTGTCTGACTTTCTTAAAACCCTCTCACAATTTGTCCTCACTTTTGACTTTTGTAGGTTTAAAACTCAAATTGGTCCTCACAAAAACGCGTTGCAAGGGCAGCTGCATACACACACTTCTCCTTATCGTCTTTACTTTCTCTCACAGCTTTGTTGCGGGCAATTCTCTGCACAGCTTTAATTGGACTCAACTTGACTTAAAATGAGCCACTTTCCCTGAGAAAACAACTAACGGGGGAAATTGGGCTTCAGCGGAGCCACTTAATACCTCCTCAGCATCTCTGTGTCTCTGCTGCTCAGGGCCGAGCAGCTTTCTAACGCTCCACCACTTTTATAATTGGCTGACTCTTGTGTTGCAGTTAACTGTCAGCGGCTCGGAGCCTGCTTCTCGCACCCCTCACCCCGCCCACAGCCACCTGTTGCCTTAAGAACTGACGCAGAACCGGTGTTAAAGCAAACACAATCACCGGAGAGTGTTCGTGTGTGTGTGTGTTCGCTTTGGCCAGACCCAATATGCAGCTTCAGTATGCTAAATCTTTTCTAAATCTTTGAACTTGATGATTGACTGAAATTCAGTTAATCTGTTGAAGTCTTTTCTGTGTCTTCTGACAGACACTAAGATATCTGAAGTTTAAACCAGGCAGTCTTCTAGTGTCTAAATAATATTCCTATAATGTTGTGACTAATTCGTCCCCCTTACCTCATCTCACCTGATCTCCTTTCTTCTGACATCAGGTTAAATAAGGAATTTTTAATGTCCATAGTTAGTTATAAAACACAGAGAAGCTACAGCAGGTGCGCTATTTAGTTGAAAAAATCCAATGCCCTAATTGCAGTTTAAACCAGCTGTGTTGTATGTTTTGGCAGGATATTAAGTTCATAATAATAATATTAGGGTACAACATGCCTCTTTCTTGTTTACACCTCGTCGTTCATTTGCACAAAGTCAGTGTGAACACGAACTGGACCAGAAGAATCATTTCTTCCATTGCTGAGGATATGGCTACGTGCATAGCCTACGGCGTAGGTACGCACGTAGACCCTACGCAGGAGTATAAACGGGCCTTTACGCTGTCGTTCTGTGGGAAACACTGCGGTAAATCAGACAGCTCGGTAGAAAAACATTCTTGTCTCAAATGTTTGTTCAACAGGTCTGCTAGTGTGACCTTATCACATTTCAGTTTGGCTAAGTAACGTTTCTTTTCTTCGACTGGCAGCTAAAGTTAATTACTTGTTATGGATCGCTTGCGGAAGTCTGCTGGAAGTTTGGGCCAGAGTAATGCACATGCGCAGTACTGTTTGTTTATGTTGTTACCGTTGAAAGCGTATAAAACTGTCTAAAACTATAATATAGTTAACGCTAATTCTAATGGTACCTTTGGTTTTTGCAAAAAGGGGCCACTTGAAATTGTAGTTGATACCAATGGTGGGTTTTTTTTGAAACACCCAAAAATATATTTTAAATGAATAAGCAAAATAGCAAAACTATAAAAAAAAAAAAAAAACACATTGTGCACTAGACTTGTGATCTCCAAAATTATAAATGTATTGTAGTCAGTGCAGATCCTCACAAATACATGTGTGTAAATCTAGTCCACATAATATAAAAACTGCACTGCTGTTTGTCACACTGGCTCCTGTCTAATACTGCGAATAACACACACACACACACACACACACACACACACACACACACACACACACACTAGGTGTTCGCTACACATAATGGCAATGATAATGGTGATGGTGGCTGATGATTGTGTGTGTGTTTCTGTGTGTTTTTTAGTGTGTGTGTGTCAGAAAGAGGAAATTGGAACACAAGCAGGCCATTAAGAGGCTAATCAACTGTCTTTTTTCTTACTAATTATACAGAGCTGTTTCAATTACACTGCGGGATTCCTCAGCATGAGCGCACACACACACACACACACACACAGGCCAGCAGGTATTCCCACACTTTTATATGTAACCAGGGACTCTTTATGTGTTTTATGCAAATATGTTAAAAATTACAAATGCTCTTCATCTCTCTCTTTCTCTCTCTCTCTGTTGCTTCTTTACCTCGATCTACCCTCTTGCTCCCACACAAACACACTCTCTCTCTCTCGCTTTCCATTTAGTGTTAACCTTGTCTCGCCCCTCACTGTTTTTTCTCATCTGAAATTTCAGAGGTGGAAGCTCATAAAACAACCACACACTTTCAAACATATTCAAACACACAGAGAGAGAGAGAGAGAGAGAGAGAGAGAGAGACTTTTGATGAGGCCCAAGAGTCTGATGAAAGTGGATGAAATTCGTTTAACAAGTGTCTACTCGTTAATCAATTAAGTGTTAATTAAGGAGCAGAGAGGTGTCTGGAGTCCAGATAAACGCTCCACTACGGATCCACTCTGAACTTAATGAGATTATCTTTCTACTTTAATTTCACTCTGCCATGTTTACCCAGCAAGGTTAAATCCACATTCAAGTGTGAAACTGGAAAAACACGTTGCTGGAAAAACAAATGCACTTTGATGTTTTCTCAGTTTAAATTGGCAGAAACGTGGCAGAACGTAGAGATTTTCTGTATGCATTCAGCGGCGGAGCGACACCAGCCACGCTAGCAGGGGAAATTGAGATACCATTATGATTTCCATTAAACTTTTCATTAAAAACACAACAAAGTAAAGTCCCAGTGTTGTGAGAATTGGATAATAATGAGAAATCTGCTGAAGAAAGAAGCTCTGCAACATGAACAAAATTTATCACCGGTACAAAATCTGAATGTTTATCTTAGTTGTTGTCATTTAATTCATATTCATTTTCTTAGTGGGCTAAGAAATGACAACTATTCTGATACATGGTCACTTCTGATAGTCATGGATGTTTTCATTCATCCATCCATCGTCAACAGGGGTACACCCTGGACAGGTCGCCAGTCCATCGCAGGGACACACATAGACGAACAACCAGTCACACTCACACCTGAGGACAATTTAGAGACACTAAGTAACTCCACTTTAATCTCGAGAAGCTGCAGTGTCTGTTCATTATTCACTGTAACATACATTCACATTTACAGGTAATTCTCTCTGCTCCGCCCGCCTGCCGTTCACCTGTCTTCTGCAGAGTTTTTCGTGCATGGTTAATTCCAAGTAACTTTTTAAAAACGATTCTTTGTGTGGTTCATCAATTGTGGTAAATGATCCGAACTCTCTTCCACTTCTGCCACACACACACACACACACACACACACTACTCCCACACATGCGCATTAATTATCCTGGTTTCATAATGTCTCTGCAAAGCTTCAGCAGTGAGATCCGGGTCTGCCCATCGAATGGGATCAGCCCTAGCACGACAGACGTGATATATAGAATATGGCTTCCGGCCTTCTACTTTATCCCAGTGATACCTCGTGAAATCCCCATCATGTAGTATTACACCTAATGTTGTTGTCAAAGTATGCAATAATGAACTAGATTGGCATATTGTAACATAAAACTACTCTTGGTGAATATAAATGACTGCTGTCGGCTCCATTTCCAAATTGATTTTATAGTATCTTAATGAAACACAAAATAATGAGGACATTTGTGGACTGCAATAACAAACTTTAACAGTCTACTTTGAACTCATTTTCTCATGCAGACATTTTATCACCACATTCATTGTTTCCTGCTCTTGCATTGGAGATGTTATTGCATAAATACGTCAAAAATAATGCTTCAGTGCCTACAGATCTGCAGAGTACAAGTTCTAAAAAAACACTGATTCAATAAAATCCTGAATGCTTGAGCAGCACCCAGGGATCAAGGTCCTCACACACCTGTAAAAGAAATAGTGGATGTGTAAATCCTATCCTAACCTGCAATCTGTCCAAGTCGTGATCATTTGAGGGAAACGATTATAAAAAGTCCCTCTCAGCACCAGTAGCATTTTCAAGTGTGCCCTAGCTTGAAATGGGACCAGTATGAGCTCCATGATTTACCCACTGAGCCCCAACAGGAACAAAAGCTCCTATCTGGCAGGTTTAATGCCATGCTGTCCGCTGAATAACAACTCATTGTTAACTTGTAATGCATTCAGTAACAACTGCGCCCTCAACAATGACTTCTGTACAATAAAAATCAATATTTCATTAAAAGCCTCAGAATCTCTGCTAAGAAGGTTCAAGCATTTGGAACAAAGGTGCTGCCTTTAATTGCGGTTCCTGTGGCTGAAAAATCAGGAGTTCAACTTTGTAATAAGAGTTGGCTGTTTAATCGGAGATGAGGCCGTCTCCTGATCAGTTCAGCGTGCCAGAGGATCAGTCAGAGCAGACAGTAATCATCATCTGCACATATGCTGCTGCAGAGACTATTAACCTTGAAAACGCATGGAAAAAAATAGTAAGTGTTCCATTTTGTGATGGTCCAGAAGGAGGCGCGGCTTTGAGATTGTGGAGCGCAGGGAAACACTGCAGGAGACCAACGCACGCCGGCCAAATCAAGGAGAGGATTACTAAGATGTTTATAAAGAAATCACACAGACCGCGAGCCTGGTTCCGAATCACACATCTCTGATTTGTGCAGTGATTCAAATTCATCCGGTGTTT